CAATGTTATATTTTCAAAATGAACAATGAATTGGTCGGTTGGAGAAGAAGTTTTGCCAGAAGTTGAATAATAAGTGGTAATCTTACAATTTCAAAATGTACAATGAATTGGTCGGTTAGAAAATACAATTTGCCACTAGTTGAATAATAAGTGGAAATGTTACATTTTCAAAATGGACAATGAATTGGTCGGTTAGAGAATACAATTTGCCACTAGTTGAATAATAAGTGGTAATCTTACATTTTCAAAATGGACAATGAATTGGTCGGTTGGTAAAGAAAATTGGCCACATGTTCATTAATAAGTGGCAATATTACAAACTAAAAGTAATATAGCAAAAAATGTTGAACATAAATTCAGTGACAAATATCTGACAGGATTAAAATCACAGAATTTAGTAAATGTCTAAAATCCCCTCTTGAAGTACCTTCAATAACACCAGTGGAGAAACACCTTTCTTAGTGAGGCAGTCTGCAAGTTGATTTTTACTTTCAGACCATATAAACTCTTTAATCTGATTGCTTTCAATCAGTTCCCTAATACCACTAACCTCTATACGTAGTCGTTTTTCACTGACTAGTTTAGTGGATTTAACAGCTTCATACAAAGACTTACAATCAGTTACACAAACAAGTGGTAACTTGTATCTACTATCACTATATCAGTTCTACAAAGTTGAAATGAACATTGCAGAATCAATGCCATATCAACCTTTGCAAGTGTTTCCCCAGCTAAAGTGCTACCCAACAAATGAGTGAGAACTATCCCGGTTTCCTCATGAGAAAAATAAAGTATCCTCCTTGAGTACTGCCATCAGTAAGATTACCCAGTGAGGCATCACTGAAGACTATTAAGTTTTCTAATTACCTTGTTAGCACATAACAAATCTCTAATCTGACCACTTTTTTATGTTGGTGGCCAAGTTACATGCATCGAACAATACATCTGAGTTACTTTGACTTGATATCCACAGTATCCGTCCTTCTCATTTTCAGTCAGTGGTGATTCTGTTTCTAACGCTCTGGCTATTGCAATAGGAGTGAGATTGTTGGTATAATCACTCACCAAGCATTACTATCTTCCTTTCCAATACAGAAACATTAACCATATTTGACTGATCACTAATTTCTCAAACTGAGTATCACCTGCCCACATAAAATCATCTACATGACAAATACACCAATTAAATTCACTCTCTCATCTACCCAATAAAATACAGCAGGGTCTACTTTGGACATCTGTGCTCCAGTCTCAATCATAACAGCTTTCACTTGATAATACCAGTGGAGAGAAGCATCCCCCAACCCATATACACACTTT